AGACAATTACTGAGCTGTATGAGAGAAGTACAGCCTGCATAATGGTGCCTTTTCCTTCCATTCCAGTGTCTTTCCTTCCATTCCAGTTAATATCCCAAGGATATTAACTCCTAATAAGAAGGCTGGCCGTATTATTCATATCACCTAGTGGCTAATAATGTTAATCTCTTCCTCATTTCTCCAGTGCCTGCATTGCAAGAGTAAAGGAAAAGAGATGATGGGGGGCAGGATGAGTGGTAGAAAAAGCAAGGCTAGAGAGAATGATGCTTTGTGGAATAATGGGTATGAAGAGGAGGAGGGTATAGTAGGAAGTAGATGGAAAGGAATGGAGAGGGAGAAAAATGGATGTGGCAGAAGCTGGAAAGATTTGGTAAATCAAGTCAGGAACATCTAATAAGAATATGTTAATTGCATACACATGTACTTGCTGGCTGCCAAATAGTTTTACATGTGGAACACGCAGGTCCTTCTTGTCTACTTGTTTTTGTTAATAGTGTAAGGAGAAACTCTGCATCATCCCAGAAGGTGGTATCAATAACACTACAGAACAGATTCTGCAATATGGGTGAATTCGTGCTTCATGTGTGAAGAAATAGGTTGGCCTCCAAGTGTCTAGAGCTTGATGTACTCCTGTAAGAGATAAGCAAAGACTTTACTGCTAAATTGAGGGAATTTGTAGTAATCGGCAGAAAACCTTAATGAATGTGTAACAGCTATATGGTAATATGTACTATCCATCAGTATTTTTAACCTTTTATGGCTCTTGTTTTACCACACTCAGTGCTGCTAAGATACTGCTCAGAAGCTATGTTCCAACTAAGTGTCAGTCATGGTCCTGAAAGGGTGCCCTTCTGTGATGTCTTTTGCTGTTAAGTTAGCTGTGGTGGCAGCTTCCACCCAGCCCTAAAGCTATCCGTGTTTTATAAAGAAAACCAAAAAGCAGGGGCACAGATTTTAATGGCTTAATCCATAAGGTGTGTATTGCATGTGCTCTTGCAGTCCTTAGTTTAAAGACAGACTGTTTCATCACAGGCGTTGCCTAACCGTGGCTGAGTTGGTTCAACAGTTGGATATATTCCTCCCAAGTTCTAGAGAAAGGTTTTGATTGGTAAAGTATGTGCAAAATCACCAGGATGACTGCATTTTAGTTCAGTACTACCTGTTTTGCTGTAAATGCAGAAGTAGAATGGAACTTATTGTGCAGAAGGTAAGGTACAGGCAGAATTTTAGGAGGAGAAATGATTGACAACCAAAAGTTAAAGCAGGAGTAGTATTAACCAGGGAGAGAGGAGAGGAGGAGGAAGTATTTGAGCAGACATAGGAAGGAAATACTATGCTTTTTTTGGCCAGATTTCATCGTTCACACCAGTCTTTGGCTAGTGAGTACTTGTTCAAAGAGCTGGGAAGGCGGAGGAGTGTTTACCTCCTATTTGGGGCAAGGCAGATGGATGTGGGGGGTGTGGTGAGTGTTTGTGTATGTGCCATTGTGTGGGTGAAACAGAGAAGTGTGGCCTCTGCTTATTTCCTCTTCTCACTTCCATTTAGGTAATACATGTTTTAATCATAGCATTGAGGAAATCTCAAACTGTTCCTCTTTTTTTCTTCAAGGGAAGAAGAATAACATGTATGTGCTGAATCACTGCTGCAGGGAGGTACAAGGAAACAATAAAAGCTGGTCAGACTGCAGTGGTTCTATGCACAATGATTTACCCATTTTTCCCTAACAGATACGTTTAGAAGGTGGTGTTAAATGGCCTTAAACTGACTTCCATCCGGTATAAGCCAGTGTTGGTACAGGAGAGTGCTGCATGAAACACACACAGAACAAATTCTGAACACATCCAGGTCTAACAGGTTTTTACTCCTTTTTCCCTATTTGGGACTGATGATCTGAATCTCTTCAAGTGGCCCAAAGGGAGTCAGGCTCCAAGTGTCACAGGTGTGTGAAGGATTTGGTTTTGCTGTTGTCGCTCTGCATGTGTAATCACTTATGAGCATAATTACACAGGTTTGGAGTCTGTTCATGCGCAGTGCCAAGTTGCACCTGGGCGTTTATAGCAGTTATGCATTTTGTACCAACTCCTTCAGTATTTATCCTTTTCCATAAGAGCCTGGTAGGATTTGTAAGGTTAATACAAGAAGTAGAGAGCGCTGAGTCCTTGTTATTTCAGGGGAGAAGCAGCATAGAAGCCTTATAGATAACAAAATCTCTTCTGCAGGGGTGGCAGAACTCCACCACGTTTCAAAGGCCCCATCGATGCCAGCGTTCACACCAGCTCCCTCTGGCATGACTAGGCAAATCCAGTGTGTGCCTGGCAGCTCCCGATGGAAAAGCCTGGGATGAAGCCAGGGAGGGTGGCAAGCTCTTCGCCTGGGACTTGTGCAGCCGGGCTAGTGTTGGCAAAAGGGAGGGGAATGGCAGTTGGGCAGCACACGGGAGCGCAGGAGGGAACAAAAGGAGTCTCAGATGCTTGTGCCCTGGCTGGTGGGAGATACAAATGTTTAGACTGGCATCTTGCCCTGGTGTTAGCCAGGAGGTGCAGAACTGTTAAATGGCCCAGCAGGAGCTCAGACCCAAGCGTTGTTCAGTCTGGCACGTACAATAGAGAATGATGGGAGAGCAGCTGCACAGGAATGTTTTCTGTTAGAAATCGTGTTTTTATTGAACAGCTTTTGTGAGTTTTTCATCCAAACTTGACTGAATGCTTCCCTCTCAAAAGTGCCGAGAGAGGGAAGCTGGGGTTTAATTCACTGGCGGCATCATAGAGCCAGTTTGGTTTTGGGTACCAGCTGCTGCTCTGGTGATGCGACTCCATGGAAAAAGGGACTTTCAACAAGAATCCTCTGTGTATATGATGCCTGCTCGAATTATTGATGGTGCTTCTCCCTGCAGCCTTACTTTGGGGTGAGAATAGATATGAGACAAAACACTTGTGCAGAGAGGTGGTCTAGGAGGGTAATGTTCAGTCAAAGGTTAGCATCTCAGGCAGAAATGGGTGTCTTTATAGCAGGACAGTGCCGTCCGGAGAGTCTTGGCTTCTTGGTGTCAGATATTGAAGTATATTTGAATTTAAAACCAGAACAGAACAGCATCCCCAAACCAACCCTCGAGGAAGCTTCATTCCTTCTTAGCACCCGCTTCTGGGAAAGTTCTTTGTGTCAGGATTTTGTAGCAACATACAAGAGTTTGTAAGATTTTTGTGTTATTTTAAATTGCTTTGTCTATTGGGCAGTGTTCCCGGGAGCTTACAGTTTCTGATAGAAGAAATGTCTTACTATGATGCCTATCAACAGTGTTTCCATGTGTAAAATACCTTTGTTTTCCCTTCATTGTGGTGGATATACATTGCTTATTCTTTAGTTTCGAATGCTTTCTTCAACAGTTCACCTGATGTGAGGTATTCTTCACATATCCTCATGAAGATGCCACACACGTGGCATTAGGAAGTATTTTTAGCATAACCAGTGAGTATAGCAGAGACTGAAATAGGTGCTGATTTAGAAACCCAAGCACCCACAAGGCAGCTTGCTGGGAAGCAAGGTAGACCTCATTTCATTTCACTTTGTTGCTGCCATGAGAGCTTTTTTAGTTGTCTGCTTGTCATTTTCCATGTGTTTGGAATGCCATAGTGACGAGAGTTTGAGCCACTGAAGAGAACAGCGGAGAGCTGGTGGCTTCTCAGTCAGACGTGGGGACTGTACCCCCATGAAGAGTCCCTTTAGGCTCCTTTTGGCTAAGAAGGGAAAGCTTTTCCCAGCAAACTTTGTCAGTTTGAACACATGGGCTTGACTTTGCCAAGTGTGCATCTTCCTGCTCTGCCCCAGATCGCCAGTTTAGCTGCTGCATGGTCCCTTGGCAACGCCCTGTGAAGTCTGACTGGGCCTTTTAACCTGCCTCTGGCAAACAGGGCCTTACATGATCTCCTGGTTTGCTTTGTGCTGGGACTGAGTTCCGCATCCCACATTCTGGCTAAGAGACGTGTCCTTTTATTACAAAGAATGTGTTTTCCCAGAAACTCCTCTGTGAAAGCCAATTCTTGTGCATTCCTACTAACTTACTTTCTCCTCCTCTGTAATGGGACTTGGGAATGCTGCAGAAAAATCAGTTTCTGCAGGAATTTAGGATCATTGGAGCTCTACAACATTCATCTTTCCCTGACGGAAAACTCCTACGCCTGTTACTAACAGTTGCATGCTTTACATTGAGGAAAAGGTGGATGGGATGTGGTAGAGCATGCTGACATGGTAAGAAGAGGAGGTTGAAGGTGTGAAGTACAAGTACCAGCAAAGCTGGTGAAAGAAAGCCAGAAGTCTAGAAGAGAGATGAGTAGGAGGGTAGAAAAAGCAAATGAGAGGCCAAGTGTTCAGAAGCCGAGATGATCTTTACCTAGTTCATCACCTGCAGTGTCCTGTCCAGAGGGATGTTCTGTTCAGGCTTGATCTGAACCTCCATAGGGAAACCTGAGCACAGGGAAGAAGGTACAGCTGGGAAAAGTCCTCCCAGCCCGAATCCTCAAAGCCCTGGAGGCATTACACACTGCCTCTTGCCCAGTGCTTAGCTCTTGGTGTCGGCAGCACAGCGTGTGGCTGCATGGTTTAGAGCCCAGGTTTCCGGGCTCACACCAGAGCACTCTGCATGGTGGGCTGTGGATAATGTGGGAGAGTATAAGCTCCAAAGGGATACTGACTGTTGATTATTGATACCCTTCTTCTCCATATGGGTTCTTCCCTACAGGGTTTCGTTTTGAGCTACAGCTGTGGTATTCAGGCAAGAAACTGAATCATAACCTTATTTTGATCTGAGCTGCTAAAAGAGGTCTCCCATCAGGAATACTCAATCAGCTGGTGTGTGGCTTAGCCTCACCTTGACAGGGCTTTGTGCAGGACAAGAAGTATCTTCTGTGACTGTTCTTGATGTTCTCAATAAAGAATGGGTTGCTTGTAGTGGTCTGCTTGTCTGCTTTTTAACCATTGTAACTTTGTGTTCTTTCTTCCCTTAGAGGATGTGCTGAGTAAAGATGCTGGGGAGTGTGCAATATGCCTGGAAGACCTGCAGCAAGGAGATACTATAGCACGGCTGCCTTGCCTCTGCATATACCATAAAGGGCAAGTATTTCTCAGGATGCATATAGAATTCCAGAAGGCTGCATTTGTTGGGTAACTCCTCTAAGGGGTGCTGAAAGGGGCACTAAAATGTAGTTCCTTTTTACGTTTCCAACCAAAGAAACAACAGCAGCAATCCTAAAGATGTCTTCAGAATGGTATCTTTCTGTGTCCCCACCAGTGTATCTGCAGTCAGTTTTCCTACTGTTGTCTTATGCTTGCATGAAAAGCCCACAGGAGAAATTAGGCAAAATCACCTGTATGGTGTGCACAAGGAGTGCACACCATGCGTCGGGCTTAGGTTGTGTGTGCTTCAGTTTTGTCGGATGCCAGTAGACTTTGGAGGGAAGAGGAGGGGACACCTTGTAAACCTGTATAGTCAACGAATGATAGAGGCAAGATGACAGTGATAGGAGTGAAGTGTCACCTGTGTATAAAGGCTGGATAGTAACTTGTAAAATGCTTCCTTAGAAAAGTTGAACACTTAGGAAATTCAGTTTTTCAACAGCGTTTAATGGCAGGGGGGTTGGAACTGGATGATCTTAAGGTCCTTTCCAACCCTAACTATTCTATGATTCCGTGATTCTATTACTGTGGTTTGGGGTTATTAAAGTTTCCAACGATGTGTGTATATACATGTATTATTTGTGTAATACACAGGCTTCCTAGTCATTGAAATTGAGAAACCAATTTATATTCATATCTGACTGCTGAATGTTACTAGGATATTAATGTCAGTTGTTTTCATTTTTGTCTCGTACCCACCAGCTGCATAGATGAATGGTTTGAAGTAAATAGATCTTGCCCTGAGCATCCATCGGATTAAGACAAGATTCATGGTTTTAGGTAATGCTTATTTTCAGACGCATACGTTTCAACAATAAATATCCTGATCATCTGAAATCACTCGGTATGCTGGTGCTTTCAATTTGTGAATGTGCTACTGTGTCTGGGAACTGCAATATCAATCAGCAAGTATTGACGTGCATTGCAACATGGAAAAGGTTTCTGCACCCTCATATGGCATGGTCTGAAACGGTGTATTCCAGTTTTAGTATTGGAAAGTGGCAGGCCTGTGCCAGTAAAGCTTTAGCATTAACTTTGAAAGAGTATTTTTTCCATGGAAATGAAGCAAAATCAAAACAATACAATTGTGTCGTTTTGGCTTGTTCCGTGAGTACTGGCATCTGTTTCTAACGGGAAGCTTTTGGAATCGTATGAGAAAGTTGCAAGAAGGTATCTTCCAAACCACTTCCGGGCTAATACATCCAGAATGTTTAAAATGGAGAAATAAATAAAAAATGGGAACATATTTCTATCCATCCCATCTCACAGAGGTTCGCATTTTTCCATCTTATGTCTCGTGTTGCATGAATGATTGTGTATCTGCAATCAGTGTCAAAGGTTTAAAGGATAGGTTTATTCTTTCAGTTGCCTAGTTCGAAAGCATTGTCTTCCATTAAACTATTGCCCCTGAGCATTACAAAAGATAGCAACAGTCTTAGAGGGCTCTTAGAGAAACGGTGGCTTAGGGTTTGGTTTTGTTGTTCTGATGGAAATGAAAAGAGAAATAAAAACCTGAAGAGTTCATCATTGGTGTTTATTTGTACATTGGTTTGATCTTGCTTCATGAGCCTGCGCTACAGGTCCCTCTGCAGCACTATGCTTGTTGCAGGGGTAGCAAAGAAAGCCTGAAGGCAAGTATTCTGCCACAGGGGCAATGGGTTTAACCTCAGGGCAGTGTTATCCAAGCTGAATAAACACGTTCCCTGTATTGCCCCCAACAACTGAACTGTGGCAGAAACCCACACGATGGTTTTGAGCACGCTCATCTCTGTGCATGCCCATGGCGAGCATCACGTTAAATTCTGTTTGTTTTCCACAGCAGAGATGGTGATAGCCGGGGGCTTAGGGAAAAGGGGAAGGAAAACACGCAGTGGTTGTGATTGTGCTTGTGCTGTCTGAGTGCGTTATACACCGAACCAGCCAAAATGATGGTCCCTTGCCCTCTGCTTTTTCAACAGCTGCTTCCACTGATCAGAAAACAGGAGGTGTGAGGTTCCTTTGCTGGACACAGCGTGCCTGGCTTGAGACTCCCAGTTCTTTGTGGCTGAAAAAGGCAAAGAAGGACGGCGACACGGAGAACGCATTGCAGGAGCCGGTTCCTTGCCGGTAGTGCTGGGTGCAGCGAACACTCACGCCAAGGACACACAGGGGTTCTGAAAATGCTGCACGTTCTGGAGCAATCGACTCCCCACGGACGTTCCTGACACGATTTCGTACCGAAGGCCAAAGTTCCTCATTTCAGCCTCACTTCTGGTTCTGTGAAGAAGCGGGTTATCGGACGCGTGCCTCACGTGGAAGGGGAGATGTTCGATCCGTGCTATCTGAGACCCTTGCAGGAAGACGGCCCTGGTTTTGAGTGGGAACATTTTCACCTTCTTGTTGGCTGAAGAACAGTAAAATGGCAAACTCAGTATAACCTAACAGTGTGACCTTCATTTTCCTGAATTCACACCTGGTTTGTGTTCCTCACTTTCCTCAAGAGCAGAAAACATCAACTTCTCCGCGTAGGAATACTGTATTTCAGATTTTTGGTAACTAAACGTTGGTCACAATGCAGTCCAAAGAGTAAAACCAAGACAGGCAACTCATTTCTATTGATCCAGCTCTAGGGATTGTTGAAATCTGCACCTTGCGTGGCTATTTAAATAACTCCAACTTCTCTTTTACTGCTTGTGAGTAAAACCAACCACAACAGCAACAAATTGCAGCAAAGCAAAACCTTACAGCTATGCAACTTCTTTTTAACTAGGGAAAAAAAGAATTAACCAGTTTTAAGTGCTGCCAGTTCAAGGTAATTTGTTTAACGGGTATTTTTTATCGTACTACTATCATCTCCAGGCTGCCTCCCGATGTGGAAATGAATTAACTGCAGAGGGGGGCACAGCAAGAGGTTTCTATAGGGCGTGGGTGAGGTAACGCCGAGGTGGGATTTGTGTTTCAGTTCTAAAACATGCCAAGGTTCTGTTTCTGGGTTTCAATGTGGTTTTATTTGATGATGGGGTCTGTAGTACTTTGCATCCACGTCCTTGGTCTCTTCATGGGGAGACCAGCATTTGACAGCGTGGGTTGGGTTTTGTTTCCTTTTGGTTTTTTAATGTACCTGCATTTGTTTAATTTATTGTTGTTTTACTGTGCTGGTATAAACCAGGGCTGCACAAAACAGGATGGCTTGGGGGGGGGGTGGTACACCAAGTAAAGGTGTGGATAAGAATTAGTTCCCATAAAGTATCACAGTTCAAAGAAGACAATAAACTGGAACAGCTGGCAGGGCTTAGAAGCATCCTTTTTATATCTAGACTTAAACGTAGTAGTTCCTGAGTTTCACAGCACAGGGAAGAGTTTATGAATATTTATTAGCGACAGCGTTTCAGTGGGTTTCAGGAGTTAAAATGAATTGCACACACTTCAACCGTTTTTTCCTGTACAGAAATAATTCTGCTTTTTCTTGGGGTTTTTTTTTTTGGTGTTGAAGTACATTTTTCTCTCTGTTGCTCCTGTGATTTATAGCAAAAAGGACAAAGAACAGGAGCAACTGCTGCTATCCGGAGAGAGGTGCAGTGCACGTTGCTGAACTCTGTCTTGCTTACAGAGCAATTCCTGCCTGGATGACGTTTTCTTCCGAACGTTGCTCTGTGAAATGCCTTTGTTATGCTGCAGGTCTCAAAGAGCCCAAACGAGACAACTGTCACCATTGCCAGTGGAGTTCCTGCATTCTGGGGCTTGCATCACTGGTTTCAGATGAACCTGTAACTACGGGCCCCTGGTATAGTGTCTTTTTCAGTGGGAGCAGAATCATCTTGTCACACTTTGAATTCTGTAGTCACACCAAATGTACAGTCACTCCCTGTACAGATTCCTTTTTAGCCAAGAATATTTGTGTTGCCTTGTATTGTCATGGGGGTTGGGGAGAGGATGAGGAATTCCAGCACCTGTAGTACTCCTGTAGTGGTGTTGCCTGCAGGCCCACTTTTCCACGGTTCTGAATTCCTGCTGTCTTCTGGAAGTAAAGCTTTTGCATTTGCATTGATTTAATGTTTGCTGTTGGCTTCGTGCCTACAGAAACTCACCTGTAATAATATAAGGGGGGGGGGGGTAGGTAATTGTTTTGGTGTCCTGTGCTCCAAGGTCATAGATAGCCTTTGGCTTGGGGTTTAAGTAGGTGAATAATATAAACATAAATCTGTTTACAGCTTAGGCTCGGTTTTAGTGGTTCCTGCTTCTGGTTCATTTACTGTTTGGGTTTGTCTGAAACCCCTTCATTTTCTGTATTCAGATGCAAGTAGCTGGTTTAAAGACCCAGCAGTTATCACTGCTGTCCTACATTCAGGACCAGGGTTTGCTAGCAATCACAGTGGTTTTGCTGCTTCCATGAGCACAGCAGAGCCAGCAGTACCTTGGATTATTTGAGGAACTGATACAAGGTCAGCCTTAGAGCCTAGTTTGGCACTCCTGGTATCCATAAATCTCTTCTGAAAGGCTATGGGAGATTTTCTTGTATTAAAAGCTGTAGTATAGACCAAGCCTATGGAAGCATGAGAGTGATTCTTGTGTTTGAAAACGCCTGCAGAAAGTCACCCACCTAAACTTGGTTTCACCAGCTCTGTTGGTGCTGCAGGCACAGCTGTAGTCCTAGCCAACACCTTCGTTTTGAAACCATCCTCACAGGGGTTCTGAGTCCCTGTGCTTCAGAAGGGGGAAATCAACACTGAACAAGTCCCGTGTCTCAGTCAAGGAATACCACACTTGTCCACAAGAAGCAATAACTGACGCTACGGAGCGATGCGCTTCTTTGCCTGTAAATATCTTGAGGTTGCCAATTCTGTGCTGTTTCAGAGTGTTTCCTGTCATCTGCCCTATATCTTCCCTAAGCATGTAAGCGTGTGAAATAATTCCCATACTCAGGTCTGCCATTAACATGCTGCTTGCCAGGAGGGGAAGAGTAGGCTCAACACTGTCTTGAAACGTGAGATGTTTCTGAACCTTTGTACCATACCCGTATATCTTGAGTAGCAACTTGTGTTTTGGAGTTCGTAGTGGAGGTAGCTATGATTTGGATTGTATATAACCATATCCCATACAGCACCGAGAGAGCCATGCCACTGTTCCCACAGGGCACACACTGTCCTTTCTCTCATAACAAATCAGTATATCTCTACCAACACTTCCTTTTTAAAGGAGGGAGCTAATTTTCTTCCCGTGTGTTATGTTCATGCGGGAGACATAAAAGCAAAAATGCAAAGCACACTGCAGTTTGTGGGAAGAATTAAGCCTAAACCAGATGGTCTTAATTGTAATCAGTTTTACTTTCATAGTCAAGGGTAAGGGTACCGCAGTGTCTTGAAATGGGAAGCATGTAGGAGATGCACAAAGGTGTGGGTGGATACCAGTGACCTCTTCTTTTCCTTTTTATGATGTAAAAAGAGGGGTTTATGACCTAATCCTGAGTTACACGTTTATCCTAGTTCTTTATGTTAGGGGCATTGGCTTTTTAATTAAGCCTTTGCTAGCACTGGTAAAACTGACACCCTCCCAAAGAGAAAACCTCAGCAAATGTGGGCAAGGTGATTTCTATTCAGAAACGTGGAGCTTTGGTGTTTCTGGATGGAAAATGTCTGGCACATAAAATGTGCTTATGGATGCTTCTGGTGTGCTGCCTTTTCCGTGTGGGGGCTTCAGAAACTCCATCCATTTCTTATGCGTCCCACCGAAAGCAGGAAGCTCATCACTTGAATGTTGCTATCTCTGCATACACAGCAACAAAGCAGACGTTATTTCTGCTGTAGGCCATGATGTCTCTGAGTTTCTGTGATTTTTAGCTGCTTTCCCATATTGACAGAGAACATTTGTGTGCAGATTTGCTGTTGCTGTTTTGTACCTGCTGATGTTGCTGTACAGTACCTGCTGTACAGCCAAGAGACCACCGTATACCTGGGAGTGCAGCACTGCTACTATGGAACCTTCCACCTCACCTATGCCAGTGGAGGATGAGCTCACTCTTTGATGAGTGCTGTATTTTATGGTTCACCTTCCACCCTTCCAAGCTTAGAAGTCACTTTACTGTCTGTTTCTCCTCTTCCTAGCTGAAGTCATGGTACATTTTAGGCCATATTCCCTCAATCTTTGGCCAGGCTTGCATTGGCATCAGCAAAAGTAATGTAAGAGGCGGTAGCAGGAAGAAGAGGGCTTGTTATGGGTTTGCTGCAACCCAGCCTAACGTGTGTTCCTGCAGCAGTGTTGTCAGCTCATACCCCTTAACCTCTTGTCATTCAAAATGCTCTGCCTGAGAAGTTCACAACAGAACCGTGTCCAGGGGTTGTTTCCTGAATGTAGGACTTGGATTTCCCCATCAACCTGCTCCTGATACCAGGTTGAAGACGTTTTAGCCTGTGGTTAAAGAAAATCCCCAGTCCTCCCGCTGCAGTTGTCCCAGGTTGCATTTGGTTATCTTATGGCACCGTTCCCTGGCTTCCCAAGCTGCTGCATCATTCCTCAGTTAAGTCCATCAGAGCTGGCGATGGGATAAACTGCAAAACGACCTCATTATTGCTTAGGTAAGCCACGGCAGGAATGTCCTTGCACCTGAAACAGGCTGGACTCGGTTGTGTCTTTGATGTAAGCTGCCAGTGTACAAGCAGTGGAAGGCAGCAAGCCCTCTAGCTGGTCTTTGTGGCACCTTTTAATCTACGTCGGTCTGTTTGAGCGACTTCTGCCCTTGGGTGTGCTTTGGCAAAGGTTTTGCAATGCTAAGTAGGATTTGCTTGATTCTGGCAGAGTTTCAAGCATAAGGAACCCGACGTCGCAGGAGCATCGTCTGTTGCTGGATCCGGTTCCTCGTTTTCCCTCACATCTGCCCCTTTCCTTGCTCATTTGTTGTATTTAACAGTAGACACTCTTCAACGTGACGGGTCCCAAGCTCTCGAGATGGGAAATGCTCATGGAAGAGGCATCAAAGCATGGTTCTGTGCTCTTCCTGTGTTTATTGAGATGAAGCTGAAGTATTCATTACTGTACAGTCAGGAACCCTCTCCTGGCTGACATTGCCAAAGCAATTTACCTTCAAGGAAGACAGGAGGTGGCTCAGCTGTAGAGGGGATGTTTTAAGGAACTTACTTGTACAAGCTGCAGCATCACACCGCATGGGTGGTGATGCAGCATTATCCTTATCACTTGATTGTGAATCCCATCCCATCCTGGCTCTTCCTACCCTTTGGCAGGTACCTGCTGGTAGGCAGCAGGGTGTATATTCCCCTTTATGCCTCTTCCCACAGAGCTCACCCTGCCCACAACGAGTTAGGGGGAACTCCATGCTAGCGCCTGGAATGCCCCCTGGACGTGCTGCGGTGCTGGACAAAACGTCTTCCTTCATTCCCAGAAATCAGAATGGAATCTGCAGTGTCCAACATAAAACCTGTCCAGTTTGGGGTTCTTCTGTTGTTCTGGTTTTGGTTTCTGCATTGAGCAGTATGGTTGCAAGCTGACCTCAGTTGTTCCAAGATTCTCTTTCCAGTGGTTTGCCAGGACGTAATCACAAATGAGAGTATTTTTGTATCGATCCCTAGGTTGTGTGTTTAACATTCCATCCCTGTCAGATATGTACAAATGTATGTAATAAATCTTTTGAAGCACAGCTTCCTTCACACTTCCAGCTGGTTTATGTTGCGAGGGAGAGAGGCACCCCTGTGAGCGCGGCTCTGCTTCACGTCTGTGCTGCAGACCGCGCCGAAGCAGAGGAGGGGAAAGCAATGCCTCCTGTGTACATGGAGAAGCAAGTTGCTGTGTGCCTGTCTGCAGCCCCTCTGCTCAGAGCCCCCTTCCCTCTCCATGTATCCGGCAAACCCGGGTCTGTGGATCCCTGTATTGGCTGGGCTGAGCAGAGCAGAGCTGATGGAGCCGCTGTTGTGCCCGGGTGGCTGGAGGAGAGGAGTTTCTGGTTGGTGTCCTCTGGGGATCTTCAACAGAGGCCATGGCCTTCGAGGTGAGCATCAGTTAAAGCTGCCAGGCCTGGGGGTGGGAGGCTCATGGGTGGTTTAGAAAGGGAAGGGAAGGGGATGTCAAACAGCCCTTTCTCATCACCAAGAGCCTGGCACCACGCTAGCTCCATACACTCCTCTGTTTCCTCCACCCCAGCTTCCTCCCAAAACACTTCAGTTTCATCTTTAAAGCTGACTCCCAGCCGGTGTAACCACGGATTTCCTACCAGCACTCTCTTGTCTGTCCCTGAAGAGTTGGGAGGAGGCTCCTGCAGGGAGGAATCTCTGCCCACAGCTGCCGAGGGGCTAAAAGCGAGGTAGGAATGGGAGCACAGCCACCATGTGCTACTGAGGACATGCAGGCGCTGGATGGTGCATGGGGTAAGTCTGCTTGCGGGGAGAAAAGGGGTGCTTTTACTTCCCCTGCACTGGCTGGGAGTGGAGCTGTGGGTGCTCTGAGCAGAACCAAAGTGCCTGTTCCCCAGGCTCACGTGGAGTGCCTGAAAACAAAAGGGGTTCATTCTCCAGGCAGGAAGTGTTGTTCCTCATGTCGGTGTGTTGCGTGTCAACCCAGCCACCTGCTTCTCCCAGCCAGGCTGGGAATAGCTGCTGCTGGAGTGGGATGCAAGGATTTATGGCACAGGTTATTCTGAGGCTGGGAGTCCATCCGTCCTTGCTCCGCTCCTGGGAGTGGCTGAGGGTAGCTGAGCCCGTTGCTGGGGCTCACTGACAGTCACGACCCTCACAGCTTCCTCTGCAGGAGATGCTAATTTTAATGCATGAATTATTCAAGCCTGCACCGGGAGACAGTTGGATGTAATTACTAAGGAACGTGTTCGTATCTCCTGCTGCTGTAACTTCCACCCCCCTCCCTGGTCGCCTTCTGGGAAGCCTGAATTCTTTCACTGCCAGTAATTCCCGTGTTTTTCTCCTCAGTCTGGAGCCGTATCACGGAAGCAGTTGGTAATTACTCAGAGCCACGTTTGGCTTTGCAGCGTGGAAATCTGCTGGAAATCGGTTCGGTTCGGTAGGTACAGGATTTCATCTCTGCAATTTATAGTGGCATCTCTTGGTGCCCTGTCCTGCCCTCCTGCCTCTGCCCTGAGATGCTTGCCTTGTCCTGGGAGGTGAGCGAAGCAGCAGTGCCTTCCCCAGGCTGTTCCTGGGGGCTGTCAGTGCGGGATGGTGATGCCGCTCCTGAGCGTGCCTCTGGCCCTGCTGCCGCAGGCTGCTGCTTGGTACAGCTGCTGGTCCAGGCTGGCTTCTGGATGCTGCATTGCTGTTAGCAGGAAGGGAGCAAAACACAGAGCCTGCAGCAGAGAGCAGGGAGGGAGGGGAGAGTCCCCTGCAGCAGCTGGAGCTAAAAGGGGGTGTTTTATCACTGGCTTTTGAATGCCTGTGCTGGAAGGTCTCTTTCTTCTTGAGGCTACGAGACCCAAGCGCTGGCGGTGCAGCCTGGAGCCTGCTGATCTCTGTGAGCATCCCTGGGGTCTGCAGGTTGAGCAGGTTCCCAGCTCCATCCCACCCTGCAGGGAGAGGGGTCCAAAGCCACACAAGGGCCCAGAGGACACCGCTTGTGAGGTGCTGCACAGCCACCTCCCAGCCAGGCTGCCCCTGGACAAGGAGCCTCAGCAACAGCCAAAGGAGACAGCGCTCTCCAGCCTTCACTTAATGCAGCATCTGTTTCGCAAGGGGATGAGATCAGGGATGTGCAGGGGCAGGGAGGAGGGTTCCACATCAGTAATTGCTCAGAGCCCACCCTCAGCTGACGCAGGATGAGTCACTGCTCCTAAAGGCGCGAGCACAGAGGAGGCAGGTACTAAGAGCACAGGGACGGGTCCTCAGCTGAGCTCGGTGGAAGCTGCAGGTGCTCGGTGCCTCTCCCCATCTGCTCCATTACCTCTTGAGCCATGCTTTTGCCCTGCCCTGCTCTTCCTTTTCACCCTGCTTACAGACTGCTTTGAACACCTTTGAATTTCAACAAAGGGATCCCTCCTCTCCCCATCCTAGTTGCTGCTTTAAGATGGAAAACACCAAACCTCTGCCTGAGCTCAGTCAGGCTTTGTCACCAAGAACAACCACCATGGGACCGTGTCCCCCCATGCAGCAGTGGGGTCTCCTCACCTGCTGCCTGCCTCAGCAGACCTGGGTGGCTCTTAAAGACCGCAGTTTTCCTCTTCACAAGTCACCCAGGCAGGATTATCCTCACCTAAACTCAGGCTTAGGGAGCCTGGTAGGTAACAGGAGGGTGAACACTCAACAGCTTCATTTGCTCTGGGCTTCGAGGTCTGAGTCTCCTGCCCTGCAAGGCTGGGCTGTCCCCAGGGCCACTGCACTGAGTGGCACCAGTAACTGCACAGAGTTTGCACCATCCAAATGGAATTGATGGACCCCCTGCAGGCAGCATGGCAGCAGCGAGTCCCTAAGAGACCGGGAAGAAGAAGCAGGTAAGTAGAGTGTTTCCCTTGCTGCCCCTAACTGGGCTGGCACCACTGCTGGAAAGGTCCCTTGTGGAAAGGGGCAGCTCCTCTCTCTCACCTGCAGCCAGAATTAGTTGGGCTGTCACAGTCCTGTCTTGATTTAGCTTGATGGGGGCTTCAGCAAAGCATCCCTCACAGGCAGTCTGGTCAGTGCTTTGAAAAGCTCTTTATGATTGCACTGGACAAGTGGAAAAAACAAAGCTGTGTACAGAGGAGCCCTCAGCAAATGACAAGTCTTAAAGAAGGTTGTCTCTGAGTAAACAAGGCTCTCACTGCAGATGTGCTGCTCTGCTGTGCTCTACAAATGGTCTGGTCAGACTAGGAAGGATGAACTGCGGCCCCAAATGCTGTGCCAATAGACAAGGTGTGCAACAGACAAGGTGTACCAATAGACAAGGAAGCTCCAGCTTCTCCCCAGGTGTGATTTCTGAAGCTGCGATGTGCTGCATGAAGCAGCCTCTGCCCTGGCTGAGCTGGGAGCACTGTGAAACCCCTCAGCCTTGTCAGTGCCAGACTGAGCTGTGTTCACAGCCCAAAATCACCTCTGAAACAGGGGCTGCAACTGGCATGGTCACTGGCACCATAAACAGTGCCAAACCCTGTCCCATGTGGAGCTGGGATCATCTATTGCCACCACTTGCTTTGAGCGAGGCTGTGTTTAGCTGCTCCAGCCATGTAGATGCTCTTGTCCCCGAACACTGCCCTGGATGCCCGGCTTGTAACAGCCAGGCACATAACAGGATTTACGAGAGGGTTGAGGTGGTTGTGCTACAAGTAACTCCAGAGGCTGCTCTAAATCAAAATAAGGGGCAGAAGTGTCTGCACTTGGAAGCGTGGAAGGAGCTGTTAGGGACACTTTGTGCTGCTTTAGTCTATTGGTAAAGCGAAGTAAGGGTTGGAGTTTTAAACTGTATTTTTTTCTACCTGGAAAATGAGCAAATAATTCAGTGATTAGAGCAAAGTGCCCTCCGACACAGGCAAGTGAGAGTGCTGGTGAAGGCCCTTCCCTCTGTAAAGGCAGCCTGGTAGAACAGGAACAACGTTTTGTGTCATGGGTGTCTGGTTTGTTAGAGCTGCTGTAAAGGCCTTGCTTTGGCAGATGTGTGAGCAGCTGGAATCCAGCTCATCTGTAACCATACGCCCTTTTGTCTCAGTAAGCAAATGGCCCAGGTGCAGAAATGGTTCAGGTTAGCTGAGTGTCCTCTGGCGTGGTCTAAGAGCTTCATTTGTCTCCCTGCGAAATATCAGTGCTGATCCCATGGACAGGGAGGAAGAGGCACTGGAAAGTGATGGGCAGTGAGCTGGTTTCCTGTGAACTGCAGGTTTTCTGGAAAGCTTTATGAATAGTTTAAAATGTGTTATGGAGCTGAAGGAAGAGAACCAGGCACTGGGAAGGGCCTGCTGCCATGTAGGAACTGGAGGAACTCTGACCCGCAAAGCAAGCCTTTATTGATGTTTATGGGGCAGATGGGAAGGTGAGGGCTCTTTGGTGTGGCATTTTAACTGGAGATTCTTCTTCCCACCTACCAAGGTTTTGTGAGTTAGTCAGCAACTGGAGAACTGCTTCTCAAAGTTTTGGGGGTGGTAACAATGGTAACTCCTTTGCAAACTGGTTTCTTTTAAGGGCATCTAAAGTTATGCTTCCTAAATACTAATTATTTTTGGGGGGGGATAATGTTTTCTTGCTGGTCCTTATCATTGCTACCTGTCCTTTGCCTTGCATTTTCCACCCATTCAAGCACAGAATAAAAGCTTCCCAAGCAGATCTTGCTCCTTCTCTGTTGCTAAGAGAAGGGATTTCTATTTGACACAACTGATTTTCAATCATCCTTTCTCCCCACTGAAGCTAGGCAGCTTAACATTGGTGTATTGCCCACCAGCATGGTGTCTAGGCCCCGAGCCAAGGCAATGAACAGCCTGCTAATTAATTTGCCTCCAGACCCCCTCCCCAGAACAAACACTGTGGAAAACAGGAGGTAGCAGTTTCTAGGCAGTCCTCAGGAAGCATTCAGCAAGTGTTTTACTGCCAAGTTTATGTTTTACAGTGATGGCAATAAGGACTCCTGGTTGTATAGAAGAAAATGCATTAGCATACAGAGAAGACTACCGAAAGTAATCTGAGCCTGATGTATCAATTTCTTCCCCCAAAACAAGCAGTGTCTACCATGTTGCCTGAGGTCAGTGGGGAAATACAGGCCTAATCTCTAGGCAGGAGCAGGTATTCATGTTGAAAAAACATTGATACCATTCAACCATTATAGGTGGATTCTGTTTCCAGTAAAGCTGTTCAGTTATGCAGCAGATAATACTGTGAGCTCATGGAGTTTGTGCATCTTGCACCCTTTTTTGCATACATACATGTGTATATATTTATCTGTATAAATAAGTTAGGGAATATATACATCAGCGTACAGAACAAATCTAAACCTCAGTTACCAAAATCCATACACCTGCCAGTGGATTTGGTCTGGTAACACTTTGCATTTCACCTTCAAAGCACCATACAGACATTAATTTACCCAGGCAGCTTCCCACTCACCAAAAGGATGAAGAATAACAGGCAGGGTAAAGGATGGAGCTGAGGGAGTGCAGCACATTCATAAAAAGGCAGCTTATCGTGTATCTCTCTCCTGCCATGAGCACTGCAGATTTATGCCTTTATAAACCCTGCAGCCCAAGTGTAGGAGTAACCTTTGTAACGCAAAGCTTGTCGACATGGGGAAGTCCTCATTCAAAAGCAAATGATCCGTTCTTCATCTTCAAAAGCTTTGGCCTCTTCTTGGCTTATGAGGTTCCCATTCAGACTGGAGGGGAAAAATAAAAGGGATGTGAGAGTAAGGTAGTGACCATTGCCCATCTATTTCCATTTTTATGCCCATTTTATATATATATATATATTTCCAAGGCTTTGGAGCAGAGATTGCAGCTTTGCAAGGCCAGATGAGCTGCCTGCTTCTCCTGGGCACACAGCTGGGAACTGGCCTCGGATACTCAGCTGTTTGCACTTCAGCAAGCAGCAGATAGCTGACTAAGGTTCTTACCATGCAGTGAGCTAGTTTAAAGAAACTGAAAGAGTCTTCAGAGCATCTTGTGTCTTCCATAACAACATGGGAAGAAAACTCTTAAGTACTTGGGCGTTAATAATGTGAAAAGATTTAAGGCAAAATCTTCAAGTCTGGTGTCACAACGTTAATCTACACTGACATTTACACCCCTGGAACTGAGCAGCCTGGGTAAGAGCTGGGATCTATTAAGCCATTTAGACTGAGGGAATTCTTGGGGTTAACGAACACCTTCTGAAAATTCAGGCAAGAATCAAGAGGCAGATTGCAGTCTGAAGGTTCAGAACAATTCAAGTGGAACTTGATGCCTCTTCTGTAGACGAAAGCTGACAGTGGCCTCTGAAAAAAGAATCTCTTCCACATCCTCAGGGACCCCACTAGTCAGATACTGAGTCATCATCTTCCTAAGCAAGAATTCAGTGTCCTTTCCCTAAAACAAATATGTATCTTTAAAAATAAATTTCATGTTCAATAATACAGCAGTGGTGCTAAACCCAGCACTCTCTTACTGACTTCTGAGCCGCCCGAGGTGAGGGCAGGAATGTGGGATTTGGCTTTGTGCCTGACAGTGCACATGCGTGACTCTTGTGATGCCCACCTAATCTACAAGCAAATGTTACGAAAAGTTAATCTTCTTGTAGCTTAGCACTTGGAGCGTGCTTGGAGCACTGCCCAAAGGAAATCCACGCACAAATTCCATGGAGCACGTTTGTAATGCCAATTAAACAGAACCGTCTCCTGCTTGTTGGGATTTAGCTCCTGAAAAGCATGAACATGGTCCAGAGTTTAAAAATGAATCAGAACAAGCAAGACTTGGTCTGTGAATTCAGGCCCAGATTCTGCAAACACACACACACATTCGGTGCATCAGTGGTACAGACAGATGTGAACTCACAAAACTGCATGGCATTTGTAACACACAGGGAAGTGTTTCAGTGACAGAGGCTTTTTACCTGTCTGAAACCGCAGCGGGAACTACACCCCCTGCCTCACATAAACTTGCTCTGAATTTTTTAGGCTGGAAAGAAGCAATGCCAGAAGTGTTTTAAAGGGAGAGTTTACAAAGTGAGCCTTTGAGGAAGGGATCTTTACCAGACTTCTTTAATAGCTGTGTTCTCCTTGAGAGCTTCACTGAGGCACTTCACCCCTTTGGCTGTAATCCGGTTCTGGATAAGCCTAAAAAGAAAGCATTTCATGTCAAACTAACACACAGACTAGTTTACAGCACGTGCACAACCTGCACTCAGCTTGATGTCAGGGAGCACAGGTGCCTGTTTGCCACACCACAACGGGTGTGATTCCTGCCTGTGAGGATTGCACACAGTGTTGGTGAACACCCCACGTGCACTTCCAGAAACAGAGCTCAGGGTATTAGTCTTTTCCTTTTAATCTTGCTTATGGTTGCATTCCAGAAATACTGAGCTTAATTACATAGCTGACAAATTTCTGCTAAGCACCTTTTACTGCTGGTATAGGACTGTGATATTTGGACTCTCTGAGACACACAAACCTCTTAGCGCTGGTTTCTTATTAAGAGTGCTGTGAGACGTAAGTGATGTACACAGTTCTGGGTACAGAACCTGTGTACGCACAGTGATTTAGCAGTTATGATCTGCAGGCTGCCAAATCCTCTTGTCTTGGTTATCAGACCAGCAAGACCTCCGAAAAAATGAGGCACTGAATTTGACTGGTGAGAGTAGGTGCAAGTCCCAGAGAAGCCACCTCAGCAGCTACAACATACATCTCATCTGAGCTGAGGGACAAAAATGATACAAGACTCAAGTAGCACAGCTGATGGGAGCAGTAGGTAACTCTTACACTGCAGACTGCAGACCATCCCCTAGCTAAAAATTAACAAAGGTCTCTCATCTGCATGAGTATAAAAATACTCATCACCCTAGCCTGAGTCAATACTCACCTTTCAGACTGCCATGGTGTGTGCCCTGTAGCTATTCCTCTCCATGTGACTGGCTGCATGAATCCCATGGGATTCAGGAAAATTGGAATGAATTGAACAATCTCTTAATGGGGGAGAGAAGGAAGGAAGCAGGGAGGCATTCCCATTAAAGGACTGTCTACATCTGGTAAATCAATCAAAACGCAAAGGGATCCAGTAGATGCTTCCAGTCACCTTTAATTGTGCCTCAAGTCCAACTGTCTCTATGGGTCACTACCTTCTGGAGGTACCCACTGGTATAACCAAGAAATCAGGATATAAATTTGCCTACTGGCAGAAACCCCAAGCCCTGGTAAAAGCACGTACCTAAGGTTACTAGGCCTGCTTTGGATGGGAAAGGTTTTAATATGAATTCAAACCGAATTGCTCAGTGAAATGTACCTGCAGCTCTGCACAAACAAATCAAGCTCTCCCCACCCCTTTCTGTTTTCAGGGTGATGGGCAGCAGAGCTTCTACTGGTTTCACAAGAGGCTACAAGCACTTGGCACCTCTGACAACCATCAGGCTTCCTAAGAGGTGAGAGTGAGATTTAATACAGGGATTGCTAGAGTGGAGTTAGCAAAGTCTGTATGGCTTGTAAAGGGACTCCTGTTTCTGATGTTCTCTTCATCACTTGGAATGAATGGATGGCCATTTGTTTCAAAGCCCACATGTGCCCAACTCCATCCATGGACAAATTCTTGTGAACCTCTGTATTAGAACAGCTAATGCTGTGTTTTCTTAGAAGTTTAACTAGTCTCTTGGGGATTGCTTGGAAGGATCCCTGAGGACTTCTAATAGATGAGTGTCCTGCATGAGTGAAAGTGCTAGCCCTTGAAGCAACATCAAGCAAATGGGGCATGTATTGAAGTGTCTGTCATAGTTGAAGAGTAAGAGTTGAGCTTGCTACTTACATAGTATGATGATAAATAGTAAGAATCATAATAAGGTGATTCTATTCTGGCTGTCTGCTTGGTTCTTGCTTTGGGTTTTCTTTTTTGAGTTGTTTTGGGTTTTGTTTGGGGTTTTTTATGAAACTTTTGTGTTTGAGGCCAGTGGTGTTCCCCAAAGGAGAGATGAAATCCATCAGTAGTTTGAAAGTTACCAGGACACATAAACAGCTTCAGCCTGTGCCTGTATGAAAGCAGGTTCAAAATGCCAGACAGCAGCTTTATTAACTTTCCATTATAACTGTCTACAACCAGTCACCTGCATCCAGACCATGCACAGAAAGCTTACTGTGACCTACATAGATTTGGAAGGTGAAGCTTTAATGCAGTGACTGCCAAAGAGCTTGTGCTTCTGTGGAATGTAACTCACCACAAATGCACCAGTTTCTTGTTGACCTTCAGCATCTCTGCAAAACTCACTGCTGCCTCATCATCCAACTCATTTTTAGTCAACCTAAAGGGGAGAGAAAATGTTCACTTAGGATGTTATCATTATTTTTCAGCCCCCTGTCTTACCAGCCTGTCTCTGACTTAGCTTTAGACAGCCAAAGAGGGGGTGTGGTGTTCTTGCCCTGAGCAATTTCTAAAGTCTGGACACAAAGAGATACTGAAGAGAAGCCCTGGAGGTAAAAGAAACAGGAGTATCAGGTCTTTATTTCTTAGAGCAATGTCCTAATGATGTTCTAGTGGCTAAAAGGTGAATGAGGTGTAGTGGAAAAATGCAGAGGGGTAGAGACCACACTGAAGAGGTGCAAAACCTGACTTCATATGATAGAAGTGAGAGAAGATGGGGAAAGCAAGATGGAGGGAGCAGAGTGACGCGTGACACTGGGACACTGGGATGTGTGCTAGAGGATGGGAACTGCTGATCCATTACTCATGTCCCCATTCTTCCAAAGGGATCCATCTTACAGCTTGCTGGTAGTGAAAGCATAGCAGATGAGGGGAGGGAGAGGAGGAGGTAGGGAGAGGAGGAGGAGGCAATGGGACTGAAGGAAATAAATTAGGCTGCATTTTTCTATGGAGAAAGAAGAGGAGGAGAAGCAGACCACACTGCCAGTTACCAGAAGATTTTCACGGAGTTGTTGTGTTGCATAGCTTCAGCAATGCTTTTGCCTCCTTCTGTCGTGATGCCATTGAACGCAAGACTGGGAAGTAAAGATACAAGTGTGTAAGAAACGGCATCACTTGGCCCTTCCACTACCAAATACTAGTGCATATCCTGGATGATCTATTTCCCAGCTGTACAGTTCAGCATCTGGGTGTTTCAAAGGCCCACATACTTTGTGAACCAGCAAGTCCTCATGACTTTCACAAGTGAGAACAGTTCACAGCCTGCAGCCTGAGCGCAGGTCTGTCATGCAGGCCGTAAGGCTTGCTGTCAGCAAGTTGTACTCTTGGGACTTAGAGCAGAGCTGCACCCAGTGGTTTTGAGAGTAAAGGCTTTTAACAAGGACAAAGACTTGTGCTTAGCAGTACATGGGTTTTTACATGGATTTGTCATCCCAAGTCCTGATATGAACTGGGCGTATTGTCCTTTAAGTCCTTCAGACACCTGAATATCTCATTATTCTTCCAAACACAACCTGTTCTGTTGTGCAGGGAGAGATGAGCTTGTAAATGCATGCTTTCCATTACAAACCACAAATATTTCTTACTCTGCCCTTTATTCTTTGAGTAGACACTGGCAAAATCATCCAGTTAAAATTATGCTCCAGGCTCTGAGAGTTCAAAAAGCATTTCCCCCCTCGAAAGCCAGGCCAGAACCTGAAAATAATGCAACATCTCAAAAAAAAAGTGAAAAGGGACATCAAGTAGGGCAATGGCACAACTATACGTTAGCACAAGTCCCTCCTAGCTTCAGCTGAAATTAGATATTCTCAGTCCATCACGACTGAGCCTAAAAATGACAAATATGCTGAAGTAAACTGATGTAGTAGGGACTATCTTCCCTTAATCCTCTCATAACGCTACCACTGGTGCTAACTATGAATTCAAGTCATGAAGCAAGGTCAGCCACTGAACCCAAGAGCAAGTACACTGGAGAGCAGAGGATTCACCCTGCACAGGTGCCAGCAAAACCTAGGTCTAACAGCACAGTTACCCCTCCTTATTCTTGCAAACACATTTGTCAGCAGATTTGTTTCCATCTGAGAATCACTCAGCTCTGGTGCAGGTTCAAAATGTTTCCTTTCAAGTCTGATGTGTCTGGATGGATTGTGCCATTATGGGAAGATGGCTATTTCAGAGAGCTTTTACGTTTAAATAGATCTAGGGCACTGCACCTCTTCAGCTGTTAATTTTTTAAGCCCGACTCTCCACTCACAGAAAGGAAGACAAGGCACCAGCTCCAGAATCCCTGTATCTGAAGTGGCAGCAATAAGATCTCCAGAGATCCCGAACTCCCCAAGAAACTAGTGCCATGTGCCACCTTGTGGGGAAACCAAAGAGGCTTGTCTGCTCCGTCACAGTGGAGGCCAGTGGAACTGGGACACAAACTGAAACGACCACCATGAACCAGCTGTGTGGATGGACTCTGAAACAGCAGCAGATGCTACAATATGCATCTTTAAATCCCTAGCCAGCACTTGAAAGTCTGGCAGGGGATGGGCTGTTTCACACTGCTGTGCTACCAGCTTCACCCATGGCTTCCAGAAGGTTGGTTTGAGATGAATCACTGAACTCCAGTAAGAACTACATCTCATCAGCACTGAATGTGGGGGGGGTCTTAGCATGACTGCAGTAATAATGAGCCTGATGATCCTGAATTTAAGAATGCCCCAGTCCCTTAGCCAATACCTCCTAAAAATTACTTTGGTGAAAGTACTGTTACACCTTCACAACAGAAGCTGTTAGCATTGAGCTCACTAGGATCCTGATTCTGTGACAGCTGGTGTATCCTTCTGCTAATGCTCCCAGATCAAAATGGCACCCACTGACCATGTGCTTTCCCAAATGCCAGCAACTCTGTGCAGCACAAGGGGAGGAGGTGCAAACAGAAGAAAGGATGCCAGCCCTGCAATATTCTTAACTTAATGGCTTCCCAGGGCTTTTTGATTCAATCTGGCCTCTTACTTCCACCAGGAGCCTGTTGGTTACACAAAGAAGGCTGCAATACCAGATGGCATTCCAAGCTAACACTTGGTGGGAAGAATCATTGGTTCAAAGCACGATGGGACAACCGGCACTACAATGAGCTGCCCGGCTCTGCTGGTGCTTTACCTTATGTTTGTTAACCTAGGGTGGTTCCTCAGGGCCTCTGCAAATGCTTTTGCTCCTTCGTCTCCAACTTGGTTACCCCACATCCTGGTGAAGAGAGGAAACCATGAGATATGAGGTGTGCTGCCCTAGTGCCCCATGGCATTGCATTCTCCCCTTTTCACTCCCCTACCCCCTGATTACTTCACAGTCTTTCAGGCTTGTGAGAAACCTGGAAGGTACCTCCTGGCTGAGCCAAACATGTTCCACTCCCTGCACAACACACCAGCAGCCTCTGCTGACTCATCAGTACCCTAAGGCTACAGCACAGAAGCAGCTCTAGGAGACAGCCTCCTGCAGGAGAAGTGCTTTTGGGATCACCTTGCTGCATTGGGCAAACCCTCTGCAGCCCTGCATCGTTATGGGGTAAAGGAGTCTTGTGGTCCTCTACAGTGAGCTGCCGTGAGAAACAGACCAAGTCCTAAATCCTACCATTGTCCTGCTCAGTGTTTCTTCCCCCTCTCAAGCTTCCCTCCTCCTTTAGAATAGTCTGGCAAAATGGTCACAGTTCCTTCAGTGTTATACCCAAATGGTATCTCCTCTCTCACCAGTGGCCAAGAGAAAAGGGGTAATCAAAATCTCACGGGGACAGTATGACCCTGGGCTCTTCCATGCATCTGTAAGGAATAGTATTTCCAATGGCAAAACAATCCTTGGTAACACAAAGAGTTAAGGGAAGGTAATGTGGTAAAAGCTGCAGGGATCTGGTCAACATCTAATAGCAGTATCTGGTAAAACCTCTTCTGTGCAGACCAGCCACTTTGAAAATTCACCCTATATTATGAGGTTTGAAGGTAATAAGGGTTTTTTTTTCCAGGGATCATGGCTTGATGACTCAGAGCCACACTCAGCTTGATGGGTAATTAGTTGGCAGCTCTTATCAAATCAATTTAGCTGTGTGGTATCTAAACAAATCCACTTCCAGTAAGTTCCCCAGAATTTCCTTGTCCTTGACAGTTTGTTACGTAAATGCTGAATATATCTGTTTAAACATTACTGTCCAAGCCATCCTAAATCTATTTGGAGAGATCATTTCCTCCACAGGAGAAAACAGGAGTCCTTCACTGAAATTACAGCACATACAGCACAGCAGACCCAGCTATATGATAATGGCAGTGTGCCTGCTGGTGACTGTATTTGTGAAATGCTGTGGAACAACAAAACTAAAAGCCAAAAATCTGATTGTTCAAATCTGATTTTCCTATTTCAGGTGTTTCTGTGACATTCACAATGGCCAAAAAGGTTTTAATTCCATGTATTCAAGTGTTTGATTCCGAAAGAAATGTTCTCCTGTTGGGTGGAAGGAGAAACTGAGTTGCCAGGGGCAGGGGGGATAGATTAAAATATAAATTAAATCCTAAAGTCTAGCACCACTCCTGAGGAAGTGGTCAGGGACTAAAGGTTTATTTGAGTACATTCAGACCTCTCTCCAATAATAGCAGAGTCTCCAGTTAGGGACTAGGGAGAAAGATGATGGGAATTCTATTTTATTCTCTCACAGCTTTATCAGGACTTGGTGCAGAAGGTTTGACAACTGTAACACTGACACTCCATAACGAGGTACGTTATCAATAGTCACAATACCACCCAGACTTCAAAATGACCAAGTATCTCTAGAAAAGCTGTGTTGCCATAAGGAAAGTGGCTATCTTTACATACTCTCCTCTTGCTAGTTTGTCCCTCCTTTAAGTTTCTGTCAGAGCAGGGACAAAACAAAACCCAAACCAAACATTATGTGAACTGGA